CCGCCTCTGGCTGTTTGTCTGTCATTGCGGGCAACCTGGCCCGCCGTCACTTTGCCACAACTGATGAAGCTGCCCTGCTCTTACCCCTCTTCCCAACTTCCCCCTCCTGGGCAGGCCCCGCAGGATGAGGAGATGCCAGAGGGCGAGCCCCCCAGCGCCACCCTGCCCAGCAGCCAGTGGCAGCTGCTGGTAGAGAGCGGCACGCAGCACGTGAGCGCGCGCGTTGCGTGCGTTGAGCGAGGCGATAGAGCGGGCCGGGCACGCGTGCGCGTCCGGATCTAGGCGGGGCTGCCGTGTACGGCAGGCTGCGCCGGCACGCCGCGTAGAACGTCGTCACCAGACAGTCCAACTGGCTGTTCGCGTGCGCCGTGTGATCATTGCTGTCCGCCGAGCCTGCATACACGCGTAACCCCCCCCCCTGCTCGCCTCATGATCCCCTACACTTTGCCCTGAAACGACGACCCCCAGCCGACCCAGGTCCCGCGCCCCGAAGACTCAATGAACCACGCCACGCACACCGCCATCAAGTGCGCGCCAGCCCAGCCAGCTTGATCGCGCGTCACACGCCTGAACACCCGCCCCCGTCTGATCCGTCCCTCCCGTTGCAGAGCTTGTCCGCAGACCACCATAACGCCCTGCACCAACAGCCGCCCCCTTGACTGCCAATCTGGCGACGCTGCACCACTGCAGCGCCCGGCCCACACACGCGCCCCAACACCGTGGCAGCCGCCCCCAGACGCCCCTCGTGCCCTGGCTGCTGCCTCCCCCCCAGGGTCTTCCGCTCGCGCCTGCTGGAGGCCTCGCGGCGCGGCGCCGGGTCTATCTCCTTCCTGGCCATCGCCAGGCGCCTGTCCAGGGCCGAGGCCGCCAAGGCGTTCTACCAAGTCTGCGGTGGGTCGGCTGGGGCTGGGGCGCGGCTTTTGGGACAGCACAGTGGAGGCTAGACGGGGGAGGCGGTCCTGGTGGGGTCAGCTGGGCGGGTCAAGGGAGAGGCAGGGGAGGAGGGGGAGCGTAGCGGAGGTCGTCTTTACGATTGAGTCGCGGCCATGTTCTTGATTTGTCACAAGTGCATGCTGCTGCAGCAAGAGTGAGGTTTCTCATGCGCCTGGATGACGCGTCGGCCACTGCACTGACCTCCCTCGCTCATCGCCTCCACCCATGGTGGTGCCCCCTACATGCCTGCTGTCCACCACGCACTCCCCGCAGTGACCAACGCGACCGGCCATATCAAGGCCACCCAGGCGCAGCCCTTCAACGACATCCAGATCGCGGCGGGGCCCCAAATGTGATCTCGGAGCGGCGCATTTGACCGGCGTTTTGACCCGGCCGGCTGGCCACGCGTGACAAACATGACGCAAACAGCTTCCTGATGACCAGCCTCTCATTGCAAAAAGGAAACATGATTCCTCGGCGCATGCACTTATATGCAAATGATCATAATCAGTGGCCTAAGGTATTCTTGAGAGCAAGCTGCTGGCTTCCTCAATGCAGGGCTCTCTCTATGTGCGGTGCCACCTCAGATTGGCGATGCGCTGCCATGCCTTTCAGACCTGCTTGCAATTTGTTTTTCTGTTTTGTATGTTTAAATCTTTCCAGGACACCAGCCGTCAGGCATGCTGGCCTGCTCACGCCTGTAGCATGTCGTGCTTCAACAAGAGGATGCCAAGATTTACTGTTCAAATCGTGGTGGCATGGCATGGCATGGCCCCTCTAAAAAGGTCTGCAGGTGAAGCGGTATTGAAACGCCCGTTATTGTGCGTACACAACGCATGATTTGCTGGTGATAGGGCCCTTTGAGGCTGCGCAGCAAAGCACGTGGCAACGCGGATAGAGGGGGGATGGATGCGCGCAGATAGCGGGGGGAGCAATGACGTGAGCAGCAAAGTGCACCGGCATGCAGGCGGCGTCGAGCCTCGCTCATCCGGAAAGAGGCTGTCGCAGCCTGCTGGCTGGAGCAGTAAGTAGATATGTACGAGGACAGGGGGAGGCAGGAAAGTGTGCAATGCAAGTTCTCACTCATAGCAAGCAGATCCAGCTCAACAAAGGCGTCCACACCGACCCAGCGCGACGCAAACTTGAAGTACAAAGACATTAATATGACATACGGATTGGCATGCTCATGCATATGCCACTCTTGCGCCTCAGCGGCGCCTGAAGCCCACAGCCAAACCTTGCAGCAACCCCGGCGTATCAAATGGCCGACAGCTGCAAAACCTGTGGAAAACCTGTGGCTAACAGCCCTTCGCCCGCCCACTACCGCTAGTCAGCCGCCTGGCGGCTGCCGCAACGGCCCAGCCACCCAGCATCACGCCCGCGCCCTCGGCAAACAGCCCGCGCCCGCCAGACGCCTGCATCATGGCGCCGCCCGCCAGGCCGCCGAGCCCCGTCCCCACGCCCAGCCAGCAGGCCTGCATGATGCCTTGGAAGGACGCCGCCAGCGCGGGCGGCGCGATGGCGCCCGCGTGGACGGTGCAGGCGCCCCACCTGCCGTTGGGAGGTTTGGGTTGAAACACAGCGGCGAACAAGGGGCGCGCGTTGGAGGTGGGAAAGACCTTTAGACTCACAGTAGCACTGTGTAACACACAGCAGGTCCGAGTCTGAAGTTATCAACGACAGGCAAGCGTTGGGGTTGCATTGGCAGCTCTGACAGTCGGGCAGCAGGCAGGCGGCGCGGGTCGCACGGCCGCGCCACCCACGCTGCGGCGAAGGTGATGCCGTGCAGCAGGTCGATGGGCAGGATGGCCCAGGGGCCCACGACAGGCAGCAGGGTCGCGTACAGCGCCTAGAGAGTTGGTGGCGTGGGTTGGTGTTGACCATGTGTCCCGTCAAGATGGTCGTGCAAGGAAGACAAGCTTGGGGCTGCACTGCGCCCCCATTTTGGGATGAGTGATTCGGGCGGTGGTGCAGGGGTTGCTGATGTCGATACAAAGTCCCGCCGCACTCCTCATCACAGGTACTTGCAGCACAGCGATGCCAAAACAACCGGCTGTGATAACAAGAAAACCCAAACCTCCCCCCCGCTCCTCCACCGTCCATACTCACAAACCTCCTTTGACATTCTGGGCCCATCAAACCGTCCTCGTTGGACCCTCCCGCCCATCAGGTCTACGTAGCCGCTCTCCCCGCCTTCAGAGTCGCCCTTACATCCCTTGCCATTCCCTGTCACCCCTGGCCCTGCAAAGCACGTGCGACCAAAACCCGTTATGTTGAAGGACCCACCATGCGCAGCGCGTGCGCGATCAGCGCGGCGTCGATGACCCACGCCACAGAGACACGCTGCAGGAGCCGCCCTTGGAGCGCGAACGCGGGCACCTCTGGGCGGGCGTCAAAAGGATTAGGGGGCGGTAAAGCGGGCATCAGGGGATTGACAGGCAGCCAGTGACGAGAGCAGGGCGAGTGGAATGATGGCAGAAGCACCGATCATGGACTCATCCCTGCCCCGAGTTTGCGTGAATAGAGCAACGTGCAACCTTGTTCAGCTGCTTTTGGGCAGTCTGGAATTTCCGGGAGCCTCCATGCCCCGTGCATCCCGGGGGGCCTGCCTCAGCACGCCGCCCCACACAGATCACCCCCAAGTGTCCCGGTTCAACCCTCATCACTCAAAGCCGAAGCTGCCCGAGCTGCTTGGCTGGTCAAACGAGTCAACAGAGTCAGCGTGACGACACATAAGGAGCATGTAAGTGCGCACCCGCGAGGGTCATGGCCAGGAGGCAAAGGCCCATGAGTGACTCAGATCCCCCCAGGTCCCTCAGGTAGATGAATTCAAACGACTGGGTCAGGCCCTGGGAGGGGCAGGTGATGCAAGGGGGGGGGTGTTCACTGTTATATGCTTTCCTTTTGCAAAGGTGTGATTTCTCAGAGGGGCAGGAGGGGACGGTTGACCAAGCAGTGGCTGGGGCCCTGGGGACGGTGCGGGTATGGTTTGATGCCAGCGCGACTGGCACGCGCCAGCAAGCCCCATGATGGGGATCAGGCCGGGCATGACGGTGCCGCCATTTGGATCTGGTTGCAGTGCTTGGAACTGCTTGGAACCGCGGCTGCCGGCTGGCTGCCGGGGCCTTGCCTGAATCCCCCGAGGCGACGGCGCCCTGCAGCAGGGCGCCTGCAGGGCGCCGCGCCAGGCCCCTGCCTGCAACTGCCTGCTCCACAAGTGAGCATCATTTGCCGCTGACCAGCCCCTCGCCCGCCCCAGCGTCGTCCCCAAATCGATGCTGCATTTGCCCCCCCCCCCTCCGCC